TCTGAGCTCACATATTCAAGAGGCCGTGGTCATGCAGGTCCCAGAAACAAAGGCCAGGCAGGGATGTCAATGATCACACAAGCATCAGACGAGCTGATGAGATGGGAAAAAACACCATTTGAAAAAATAACCAAATTTTTATCAACTCTGTTCTGGCACATTAGATTTAGATATGAAAGAACGTCAAACACAAAGTTAGTTCTCATCAACAAGTAATTTTTCTCAGAGAATTTTCTGGGTAAGTGAAGTTTGAGGTTAGGGATGGAAGGTGGAAAGCAATATTGTGTTCTTGTAGTTTGGCACAATCCAAGGCTTACTGTCTCCACGTCTTGGGTACCATCTCATTGTCTTGTAGTCAGATGTTCCATCACATGTGCTACAATTGAACAGCCTTACAGTTTTGAGGTCTCACATTCTCTGTGTGACAGGCTCAAAGCCATACAGCCTTAGGGCTTCCAAACTGATCAACATAGCTACCCAGAGATAGAGGAAAATAAGCGAAATCAAGTTAGGATAACTATAAAGAAGATAAATCAATGGAGAATGAATGCAAAGACAATGCACATATAAAAAAGAAGTGAATGCAGTTTTTTCCATGTAGAAAAAGTTTTACCAACAAATGTTTAAATCAACATTTTATTGGATTAAAATCTCCAAATTTTTTCTTTTTGCCAAAACATCCACATAATCAAGGCTAAGGGAAGTGCATCAGGTATGGGAGTATAATGCTACGTGATACGAAGTAGAATTAAAACTTCGAGAGAATAAATGTGTGGGAATATCTAAACACTCATTTTATCCCTTATCTATCTATTTTTTTTTATTTAAAGAGTTATTAGTGGTTTAAAGCAACAAAATAACCATGTGTTCAGTTAAGAACATACAGAACTAAAATATTTGACGGTGGGAACACAGAGGATAGATGGTCCACTCCATTTGTTTATGAAATAGTATAACATTCCCTGGGAGTATATTGATGTGTTAAAGATGAATGTTATAACCTCCAGAAAGTATACAGGTTTTTAACACAAGCAAAAATGCCTAATCTCGAAAACGAAAAATAGCACAAAGGATATCTGTCAGGAAGGAAGAGAAGAGAGCACCAGGATTTAAACAGGAAGGAATAGGCTAATTCTACAGTCCGGTTAGTGATCAGGACTGCCCTTCCCTATAAAGCTGCTAACTCCAAGCCTTGCAGGGAAAGATAAAAACCACCTGTCAATCACAAGAATCCTTTCTCTGTATTAGTTCTGTCTATACTTTGCCCCTGAAGTCAGGAAATACCTTGTCAGGAAAGGAATGCCTTTTAAAGATTTTTTGATACTGGATAATGCTCCTGGTCACCCAGAATCCCAAGAATTCAACATGAAAAATATCAAAGTAGGTTCCTGGCCCTTAAAGACGACATCTCTGATTTAGCCTAGAAATCAGGATCCTAAGAATCTTTAAGGCTCATTACACACATTTTCAATGGGAAAGATTGTCACCACAATAGAGAGAACATCAAGAAAATATAGTAATATCACACTATTGAGATGCCATTATTGTTATAGAAAAATCTGGGAGAGCCATTAAAATTGAAACAATAAATTCCCACTAGAGAAAACTGTGACCAGATGTTGTGCATGACTTGATAGAGTTTGTTGCACAGCCAAATAAGTAAATCATGAACGGGAATGTGGATAAGGCACATTCACATAAGAAAATGTAGGATGTGAGAGTTCCAAGATATAAATCTTAAAGAAATTCAAGGACTGATAGACACCACACTCAAGGAACATGCCTCTTTCTCAGACTACTCAATGTGAAGATCACAAGGATGAAAGCCTTTATGCTGATCTGCTTCCACCTAATGAATAGTAGATATTTTTTAAATAACATTTTCTTTTTTCTAGCTTACTTTATTGTTAATAATATGGTATAATAGATAGATAGATAGATATAGATGTATATCTACATCTATACACGTAGCATATAAAATACGTGTTAGTCAACTGTTTATATTATTATTAAGGTTTCCAGTCAACAGCAGATTACTAGTGGTGAAGATTTGGGTGAGTCAAAAGTTACAAACGGACTTTTGTCTGGGTGGGAGTTCAGCTTCCTTAAACTCACATTGCTCAAAGGTCAATTGTCCTTGCAAATTTTCAGTGATTTTTCAAAAAAGATGCTAAGAACAGCCAATAGACGAGAAAATGAACCATAAAGCAGGAAACATAAGTAAACGGTAAGTAAACGAAACATAAAGCACGAGAGCTTTGTTGGGTGAAGAATGCAGAAGGGTCACTTCAGGCGAAGGACAATACAGTAGATAGGAAAAATCATAAAACCAATTATATAACGAAAAGCAGGTAAGAAGTTCATTGAGACGATGGTGTGGTATTCATGAAGGTTGTGGGTGAAGCAGAAGACAAAAGCTGAGATCTTGGTTGGGCCTGGGTTTTGATGAAGCTTTTACGCCAGGTTAACATTTGCAATGCAACCATAAATTAAAGACGGTAAGTAATGACTATGGTAGTGTTATTAGCATTGTTTGCAGAAAATGACTCCAGGAGAAATATGTGGGGAAGGTAGGATAGATATGAATGTCTTCGAGCATGGGTGAAAGAAACGTAATGTTGAATGTTAACAGGATAGTATAGAATTCTAATCATAAAATGTGAAGTGTGTACTAAGTGACAGAGAGTTAAAGAAGAAAATGCCTATTTTAGGTGAAATCTACATAAATTAAAGACTGATTATACAGGAAATAATGGAAATACATGAATAAATGAAGTGTCCAAGGCCTTCAGTTTGAAAGTAACTGACTGTACCACAGATATACCATTGACTAGAACAGGATGGAAGAAGGAGATGTGAAGACTTCAGTTTGGGTCACATTTGATTTGTGCTACATGTGATATAATAAGGTAACAATGTCTAGAAAAACACAAAAACAATGTCTAATATGTCTATATAGAAATTAGAGGGTCTTAAAACTTGCGTATCATCAATAGAGCTGCATGACTTTCCTGGGTACTGCTGGAAAGCATGAGAATGACTGAGATCACGTACAAAAAGAAAAAAAAAATAATAACATTTTTCAGCAAACAGAGGAAAATTACAAAGTTTTCCCAAATTTGATCATATCATTACATTCACCAAGATCAATCATCATCATCAATCTTAATAGGTTGAAGGAAGAAAGGGCAGAGGAGCACAGACTTGAAAACAATGTTCATTCTAAACGTGCCCTCACTTAAATAGTATTTCTAAATGTTTTCAGTCATGAATATACTTAAATGCGAGATCTGTACACAGGTAATCAAGAGATGAGTATTTTTCTATTTAATATGTCCATAAATGAAATATTCATGCATATTTTAGGTAAAATTATTTGAAAGGCCTTGGGAATATTTACTTGCTCTCTCTTTTATAATTAAATATGCAAAACTTGTTTCTCTTGCTGTCTAGGATTCTTTACTCTTTGCCATTTTGTGACATTTTGAAAATAGTATACCAAATGGAAATGGCATGATCTGCCCTTTAGAAAACAATGGTACAAAATGCTTATATTTTCAAGGCTGAACAAATGAGTTGAAATGAATGAAATCTGTTCTAAAAGAAGCCAATATATCATGAGTCACAAAACACTAATGTAATTGGTTTTGGAATGGTTCATTTTGACTGTTTTTCCCCCATAAATGTTATTTATTTTAAGAACATAACTTTTAAATGCAAAACTGTTACGTTAGCTACATATTACCTGGACCTGATGCAGTTGCTTATCTTTGTTTCAAAGAGTCAGAGAGCAATGACAAGCTTCTCTGATGGAAAAAGAATTTTAACAAACTTTTTCTTTTATTATTTGAAAGAAAGAATCTATCATAAGCATGTAATTAGCCTAGGAAACATAAAAATGCATAAAAACTCTATCTGGATTTAGCATAACATTGGCTTTATTTTGACCTTATTTCTCCTCTACACAACTTGGATCTGGATGTTAAGTACTGCACTGGCTTGCAAACTGCAATACAGCTGATTATTGCATTAGAATAAAATAAGATAATTTATGTAAAACACTTAGATATAGAAGTTAGTTTTATTATTTTCACAGCTTCCACATTTTGAAAAATGGTTTGGCAAGTGTTAATACCCATTAGAGCGAGATTTGATGTAATCCCTCCTTTCTCAGTTATAATGTTCAAACCATAACCCCATTTACTTCATAATGTTGTTATGACAAAAATTATAAGTTTGGAAGATATGAAAGTACTTAGAATGTATTCAGTGTATAACACATGTTAAATTTTTATTCATTTTAAATTGACTTGAGGTTGAATTATTTTGTATGTACCTACTTGGTAAAGACAAAAAAAAGTATTTTTGAAACATCTGACAATTTAATTTAAAAACATTATTTTTAAACATGAATGATTACTTAAGCCATACTGTACTGTTTTAATTAAGGGTTGGATTTATGTAAAGTTAGTATATTCTTTTACCTTTTTTTCTTCTTTTTTTTTGAAACAGAGTCTCACTTTTTCACTCTGGTTAGAGTGCCTTGGTGTCCTAGCTCACAGCAACCTCAAACTCATAGATTCAAGTGATCCCCTTGCCTCAGCCTCCCAAGTAGCTAGAACTACAGGTGTCCACCACAATACCCAGCTATTTTTAGAGATGGAGACTCACTCTTGCTGAGGCTGGTCTCGAACTCCTGATCTTTTACCACTTTTTGAGGACAAACATCATTTTTCATGACTTATAGAAGATATTAGCAGTTTGCCTCTCATCAATAGTATCCTGACCACAACTTGTTGCTACAGTGTAAATGCCTTTGAATCATTTCTATATAAGTCAATTTTGTCTATACTACATTAATAAAATATTTGTAACAAACTGTTTGTCAATAGTTATATAATCTGAAATATATATTTATATAAAATTGGTTGAAATCATATTCCAAACATGAAGACTGAACTGTACCCACATTGTTTTCATAATTAAAAAGTTTAGATTATGTTCTCTTCAGCAGCACATATACTAAAATTGGAATGATACAGAGAAGATTAGCATGGCCCCTGTACAAGGATGACAGGCAAAAAGGTTGATGTTGTTTAATTGATTTTAAGAGAAGTGATATCAACTCCCATTTAATAAATTGCTTAATACATTATTTTTGTTAGCCATTCTTAAATATGTTCATATGTTAACGGATTCCTCTAAACTGTCGTTGGTGATTACTTAGCATTGTACAGAGTCTTGTCATTTGCACAGTACTTTCGAATCAACTACAAAATATCAGGTTGGACAATGAAGTTCAGGTGGGCATTGTCCTAGAAAAAGTGCTACGTACCTCACTGATGAATATTATTATGGTCACCTTCATTGGACTCCCTTTGGAAAACTATGCACCAGTGTCAGCCCGTAGTCTATCCTTCAAAGCAATTTTGGAACATTTTTCTGAAATGACAATCGGAGCTATCATTATAGGATAGCTCTGATTGTTATTTAATTGATCTGACAATTAAGTTCGTGAACTCTTAATATTATGCTTTCATGCTGGATTAAGCGCTGGTGTTGATGCATAGCCTCCTGGGGAAATACCTGGAAGGTGACTTTAGTGACATTCACCAATGACATATGTAGCACTTATTTTAGGATGATTTTGCAAACTCAATTGTCTGATCTTATATACATACTGTAGACTTCTAGAATGACCGTGTACCTTAATTGTCTGAACTTGTACTCAAAGATACTTGTTAAATTTAGGATATATTCTAGATACTGTGATAAATTTACTTGATTGTTAATGTCATCATACAGATAGAATTATAAAGTATTTTTGTTCTACCTTAGAAATGGATCTTTAGATGCTAAATATTTGGAGTATTTGTACAATAATTTATAAATAATAAATGAAAAATTCAGGAGATAATATCTGATTCAATGAATTTTCAGGAAGTAGTGTTATAATTTTATAATACTGAGTTCTATTTATTTTTTAAAAAATATATACTTTTATAAAATAAATATTAATATTTATATGCTTCAACTCTAACAAAACTTCAAATTCAACGTCAGCATTACCATTGAATATTTTTTCACGATAAAAACCAAGTTACTTATTACTCTCAATATTCTTAGTTAACATTTTAATGAAGAACACATGACTTATGGTTGTAATTGTGCAATTGAATCCAGAAAAGAATTGAGATATATGATTTGATGGCATCTATTCAAATTTTTACAATAGGAAATAACATTTATTTCATCAGAGAATACAGACATAATTGTTCTTAGAAACAACAGCTTCACCCTCCACCCATGCATCCCCTTAGGATTGTAAAATCCATAATTTTAACAATAAGCATGAATATCTTTTGCTTAATATTTCAGATTAGCACATATCTATTTACTTCTAAGAAATAAGGATGTAACTGACTTAAATTTCCATTCTTCTCCATTACTCCATCTGTATGTTTTACATTTACATAATCATATTCTGCTCATGCCTTTATTGCTTATAATTGAATTTTATATAATATGCATTTATATATAAATTTTTGATAATGACTTATTCTAGAAAAGGTAAAGACATTAGTGCCCATCCCCAAGCAATCATTCTCCTGTCACTATTTTTGTATATTTTCTTATTTATTAATAGTTCCATTCTGCTTTATAGCATAACTGTTTTCTGGGTAATGGCCATAGTTGATTCAAAAAATTAAAGAAAAATTTAAATTCATTTACATTGTCATAATAATGTATGCATTAGTCACAACATAGGTGAATGTACATTAGTCTAGCACTGCAAATTCTGACCAATCAAAATAGAATGTTGTTAGCATCATAAATAATAGCAGTTCCCTGATTCCAGCATTTTTTAAATATGATTTTTTTCTACCTTTTCATGTTTTTGCTCTTTTAATCTCTAAAAGTTTATTTTGACTCCCCTTTCTTCTTTTGGTGGAAATTATTTTACAATAAACACCACAAAATGTCTACTACAATTATATTTTCTTTGTCGATTATCTCGTTTTTTGTTTTTGTTTTTTTTTTTTAATTTTAACATTGATTATTTATTTGTGTACTGGTTTTACATGTGGATATTAGCAGTGTAAACAATACCACATATAACCATCAAGATGCCTTAAATCAAATTTATAGAACTAGAATGACAGATTCAGATGGCTTAATTACAATTAAAAAGTTTTCTGAAAAAACTTTGCCAATAAAAAAAAAAATCCCATCAATAAGGTTGACATTTTTAAAAATGATTTTTGGTTATGTGCATATGAAGCAAGTGTATTTCACAAAATTCTTTTGGTACAGTCTGGTAAAATAGCTGCCAGAAAGAATGGAAAGAGTTGTCATTTATCCCTCTTGAGTACGATTTCTGAAAGTTGAATGAGGGCATCTCTTTCTGGGGAAGGTCGGAGTTTGATGATCTCTTTTATTGCTTCATGGCAGTACCTCCGGGCGAGGAAGGTTGTTTGTTGCACACCATCACTCAGTAATACATACTGTCAAGCTCGGTCCACATCTCCTGGCAAACTGAATCATCTCATTATCATAGCATTCATTTCCGGAAACTGCTGACAAGCAAATAAGACAGGGCCAGTGGCTAGCCCGAGTTTCAGATCAGCTGACATTGGTTTACATTCCAACATACTACTTTCAGAGAGATATTGACAATGTGCCTTGGAGAATCTCTGTTTGAGTTGATTTGACCTGGGGTTCAATATCTCTCTGAAAGTAGTATGTTGGAATGTTTTGGTGACACTTGGGAAATTTTCATTTATGATATTCTCTAGTAGGGTTTCCATTCTTCAGGCACATTCTTCTTCTCCTTCTGGGATACTTATAATTCATATGTTTGAAGGTTTCATGTTTTTATAATTCTCTCAGTAATAGTTCTGCGCGCTCTCTCTCTTTAACTGCCTGGGTTAGCTCAAGAGTTTATCCTCTATCTCTGATATTTTTTCTTCTCCATGGTCTAATCCTTTTTTGATACTTTCTACTGCATCTTTAAGTTCCCTAATTGACTCCTCAATTATTTAATCTATGCCATGTCCTTTTTATATTCTTCTTATCTTTCATCCATCTTTTGGTTTTGTGTTTCCTCTTTCTCATCATATTTTAAATTCCCTTTCCTCAAATCCATTAATTCTTTATAGGTGGAGTCTTCTGTAGTAGCTGCCTCATGGTCCCCTAGGGGAGTTAGTTGATCTGTTTTGGTTTCTCATGTTGCCAGAATTTTTCTGTAAGTTTCTCCTCATGTGTGTTTTCTTCTTGTTCACTTCTTTCCCATGCTTATTCCTTCTCACTATCTCCTTCATTTTAAATTACCTTGTCTCAGAGTTTAGGTGTTGAAGTGGACTTTTGGTATAAGTCCAAAAAAAAAAAGATAAGGGTAAAGAGCAAGAGGGGAGTCAAAAAATAAAGAAAAAAGAGAGGGAGTGAAAGAAAAGAATTGAAGAGGAAAGAAGAATTACATAAAGATAGAAAAATAGCTACATGACAAACAGTGGTGGTCAGCAGAGTGATATTACCATACCTGAAAATATAATCCTTTGGGGGTCAGGCTGGGTCAGTTCCTTAAATCAGTAGCTCCTTACCAGCCTTGGCAAAGCAAGACCTCACCTATGCCAAATATAAAAGAAAAAGAAAAAGAAAAAAATAGCGGTAAGTCGCATACAGATACCATCTTTCCAAAGGCCAAAGGAAGAAGGACACCCTGAACCATAAGCTTGTGACCTCCTTGAGCCAGACCAATGCTGTGACCTTGCAGCAGCCAGAAAGAGGAAGAAAAATAATAAAAAAAGAGCACAACCTCAGGGAGCTAGAAGGATGAACGCTAGAGCTAGGAAACATTTCAGAATCTATTTGTAACATCGACAGAGTATTGAGCTTAAAGATGTAGCCAGAGTTGGTTGTTACTTAGACAGTGGTTTTCATTTAAAAGTAAAACAAGTCAGGCATGAGACCCGTAAGAAGAGAAGACTCCTACTTTGGAGATACCCTGGTTTGGCAAAGGTAGATAAGCAGGAAAAACAAGGACTCCAAAGTCCCTGGTTAGAGGATGGGGGGGGGGGGTCAATGAATTGGAAGAGGAAGTGGCAACTGGGAAGCTTTGATTAAAGATTTCAACCCATAACAAGGGGAGAGATGTGAGATCAGGCTTATATCACTAAACTGATTTTTATCTCCCAAATTCCCCCACATTCAACTAGAACCAAATATGTGTGCCAAACTGTAACAACCAGGGAAAGAATGGGCCAGAGTAGAGAAAGCAGATCGTGTAGATCTAAATTCACAATGTCCAGTGGTGAGCATTTCTTTGGTTTCCTCAGGGAAGAAAGGAAGCTAAGGAAGCTTGATCCTTTTGGGGTGACATTAGAACAGGTAATTTGTTAAGGCAGCTGACTGAGCACTTTGACCACCTGAGGAAAAAAAATAAAAAATAAAAATAAAAATAAAAATAGATAAATAAAATTAAAAGTACCAGTATAAAAGATAAAAAAAAGATGTATATCTTAGCTACCGCTTGAGAAACTTATACGGGCAAGATGAGAAAAGTACAAAAATCTCTACCAAGAGAGAAAAAAGGAGAGACGTAAAAAGGAAGAAGAATAAAAGGGGCTGAAAAACCATAACAAAAATGTAGGAGCCCTTGCTATTGAAGAAAATAATAATGAAAAAATAAAAATACAACCACACACTATAAAAAAATAGTAAAATCCACAACAACAAATACAGAAAATATTAAAAAAATACATCAAAGATAAAATCTATGAAAAGGAGCAAAAAATGAAAGAAACACGTGTCTGTACATCGCAAAATGTTTCCAAAACATCCGATGGCAGTGTTGTGTTTAGGAGATGGAGAACACATGCTGATTTTGCCATATATAAAATGGAAGCCAGAAACCAATTTCTAGTTGCAGAGCAGAAATTTGCCCTCAGTCAGAGCCTGTTCACTTTATTAGCATTTAGTGCCCATATGATTGGGGTTCTAATACTTTCACCAGCTTCCTTTAGGAGGCACATCAAACAGTTCCCCTTGACAAAAAAATGGCCTTCCCCAGGGTGCAGAGTCTGCTCAGCTTACCCTAAAGATAGGTT